CCTAGGGAGTCCACGGACGGCGTCAGGGTGGCCAGATAAACAGAGAAGGGAGAATTTGAGAGAATTCTGGGAGGGAGGGAGAGGGATTAAGAGAGAGAGAGAGAGAGAGAGAGAGAGAGAGAGAGAGAGAGAGAGAGAGAGAGAGACTATAGAAACCAAGCCAAAGGTCTCTTTCCTTGATGACAATTCCAGCCAGGGCCAAAAGAGCAGGATGCTGGGGAGAAGCTCTCGACTGAAGAGGCCCTCTCTATGCTCTCGACCCCCACCGGCGCTGGGCAAGGAAGGAAGGACCACAGGTCAGCTTCGACTGGGATGCAACCCCCCCCCCCCTCTCTCTCTCGGGTTTTCTTTTCAAAGGGGTAACGATGAAGTGAACTTTATTGGTGGAACTGCGATTCGCTGTGATTGAAGTTCCGTTTGCTGCAAGAGCAGGACGGTGACCCACACGAGCCAGTGCCGGTGATACGTCCACGTTGGTAACGGTAGATTGTTTGTCTATTCCTACAACATTACTTAATGTTCTGGCTGGGCCGAGACGGACTGTTGGTTTGAGCCGCTTATTATACTCCTACTGGCATTTATCGACGGAGACAAAGGCCAATATAGGCACACTTCTCCCAAACAACAATGAGTATAAAAGAGAGGCAGAGACGAAAAAAAAACCAACACTGACTTATGTGCAAGTTTTCAAACATTCAGCAGTTTCTGTAGTTTCATCGCAATACGGTGTATCTTGAATTGCACGCGATGTAGAGAGAACTGACTACTCAAACGAAAGCCATCGTACTCACCAAGGTCCCACTCTTTGCGGTTCATGGCGCGCTCACGCTCGGCGATGACGAACCAGACGCAGGCCAGCCAGTGCGCCAGGAGCGTGAAGAAGAACATGAGCATGGTGAGGATCATAGCCGAGTACTGCGAGTAGCGGTCCATCTTCTGCAGCAGTCGGGCGAGACGCAGTAGGCGGGTCAGCTTCAGGAGATGGATCTGGCCGTGCCCCGACTCCTGGAGGAACACGGGGGACTGCAATTTTGTATAGAACACGTCCAATGGCACAAAAAACAGAGAAACAAGATATCAGCATGCTCACTGTGAGAAATTCTTGTAAGGGTTACAGAAAAATTTACAAGACGTGTGTTGTAAAATAACAGGTTCATATTGTTAATTAGGACATTTGTATAGGCTTTTAATCCATTGGCGATAAAGAACGCGCTGTCGTTTCTAGTTTCGAACATATTCTGTAAATCGTAAATGTAAAATATGTTGTAAATTTACTGTATTGCCCACAGTGCGACACGATTTATGGACCGCACTCCCAGCTGCAGCTGACAAGTCGCGACAAAAGAGTGCAGGCAGTCAGCCTGCTAAGCCCAGGGTACGCCACCCGCCTAACACCCACGCGCAGATGCTGCCACCTTCAGGCGGTCAGCCTGTCAAGCCTCGGGTAGGCCACCCGCCCAACACCCGCGCCGGGATGTGGCCACCTCCAGGCGGTCAGCCTGCGAAACGCAGGGTAGGCCACCCACCCAACACCCGCGCGCGGATGTGGCCACCTCCAGGCGGCCAGCCTGTCAAGCCTCGGGTAGGCCACCCGCCCAACACCCGCGCCGGGATGTGGCCACCTTTAGGCGGTCAGCCTGCGAAACCCAGAGTAGGCCACCCGCCCAACACCCGCGCGCGGATGTGGCCATCTCCAGGCGGACAGCCTGTCAAGCCTCGGGTAGGCCACCCGCCCAACACGCGCGCAGATGTGGCTACATCCTGGAGGTTATCCTGTCAAGCCTCGGGTAGGCCACTCACCCGACAGCCTGTCGCGCAGCTGCCCCGGTGCCAGAGTGCATCGCTGCATACAGCGACGCTGAGGGGATCGTCTCGGATTGAAAGTCAGGCGATAAAGTCGGCCGCGGGTCGTACATCAAAAAGTTTACAGCCAGCGCCCTGTCGGCCGCCAGTGCCCCCGGGGGCTGCGGCGCGATGCATGCGGAGGCGTTCCACACAGTGAGGTGGATCCTTAACATTGCCCATTGTGAGGACAAAGTACCGATACTGATGGGGAAACGACATAAAATAGGCGAATTTGACGCGTTTTGTCGAATTTTCAAATGGTGTTTATCAAACTCTATACACACTAGATCTTTATGCATTTGTGTTGTGCATAAACATGCAAAATTTTATACAGCCATAGTGTTATGCACAATTTTTTGCAGAACCATATGTAGAGTTGGTGCATAATTATTCACAATTTGTACATAATCATGCATAAAATTTGTGCATAGTTTTGGCTGTCTGAAAATCTGCATGCTGATGCACAATAAAATGCATAAGGGTCATGCACTGTGATTCCTAAAGGCAACTTTTGTGTCGGCCGGGGTATTTGTACAAAAAGATGCTCTGGTGAGGGCAACATGCCTGAGACGTCGCCATGATTAGGGAGCCTCCAGTTTCCCGCAGAAAGGCAACATTTGTGCGGGCGGGCGCGGCGACAGAACGAGCCCAGCGCGGGGATACTCCCGTCCCCCAACCAAAGGCAACTTTTTCTACCGCGCGCATGGGGAGTTTCGTTCCCCCGCGCACGGCGGCATCTGTGCGGGCGGGCGCGGCGACGGAACGAGCCGTGCGCGGGGATACTCCCGCCCCCCTCCCAAAGGCAACTTTTTCTACCGCGCGCACGGACAGTCCCTCCGCGCAGGGAGGCAAGATTTCTGCTGCTTGGTGCGGCGAATGATCCCCTTGCGCGCACGGCGACTACCTTTCTCCGCAGAGATGTGGATCTTGGGAGAATAGTTCTACCAACAGAACCAGTAGCAAACTGCCAATATTTAAAGAAAAATTTAAAAAATCATTTGTTTGGGAAGGTGTGCCCTGGTGTTCGCATCGAGGCATCGCCCCTTCGCTATTCCGAATTCCTACGGTCATCCGAGTTGGTAACGCCCTTGTAGGCTAACATCATGGCTTTTTGGCTGCTACATAGAAGGATACACGCCTACCGCTGCCAGCGCCGGGACCTGAACCCGGCGCTGGCAACTCAGCGTCCTCGCCTCGTTCGCAACCAACTGAGCCATTGAGCCCGATGCGGGGGCGAGTCCGGACGACGAAACACATTCCAGCCTTTGTCTCGCCGGCCCGACACCGCCGGGCACGCCGCTTGCCCTCCCCCTCCTCTTCCTCCGTCCCTCCCCCTCCGGGGAGACGAATAAATAGGCCTACAGCAGTGAGGTTGCTTAGTGTCAGTTGAACACGGCACCTAAACTTGTCGAATACACGAGGACAATAGTCGCCTTTCAAAAAGGAAACTTTTTTAACGCCTATGCGGGCACCAAAACTTATCGAATACACGGGGATAAGAGTCGCCTTTCAAAAAGGAAACTTTTTCAACGCCTATGCGGGCAACACCACCCAAAGGATACTTTTGTCCCGCAGAGGCGGGGATTAGAAGGTAGCCGCCCGCACGGCGACAAAAGTTGCCTTTACGCAAAGGGTAACATTCTTCCCCGCGGCAAGGCAGACTTTGCGGCAGAGGCAACAAATGTTGCCTTGAGCCCGGACACTTTCGGTTGTTGCCTCCCTAGGGGCAACATTCACGATTTCTCACTGCCTGGGGAGTAACAACAAAGGCAACCGCTAAAAAAGTTGCCTTTAGGAATTACAGTGTGTGTGTATACCTTATCCACGGTCAATCACCCCCTAAATTTAGGCAGCTACTGCACTGTAAAATGCTTGCAAACTATTTTCTTTGCAACGTTGCAAAGAATTTGAGAGCTTTGTATTGCCAAGAATCAGTTCGTATTGCAAAGAAGTTCTTTGCAACCTGGCAGAATCCTTGCAAACAATGTGTTAGCATTGCAAAGAAATAGTTTGCAAGCTTGCGAAGACCTAGTTCGTATTACGATGCTTGAAAATTCTTTGCAAGCTGCAAAGAAAATAGTTTGCAATACGAACCTATTCTTTGCAAGCATTTTGCAGTGTGCAAGGTGCACGCGGGTTAAAAGGCAAATGTCAACAGAACTGCGACTTTTACAAACTAACTAAGGTAGAATTATCCTCAGGAACGTGCGCACGTTTGGTCACAGTCCACGGCCCGGGTTATTGTTAGCACGTTTAGTCAGCCCGGCAGCGCCCTTCCTCCGGCCACGTGGCCTCGCGCGGGGGGATGGAGGGCTCGCCAGAGAGCGCGGCGAGGCGGGCCGGGCAGGCCGGGCGGGGCTCGATTTGCCGTCTCGGGTGTCGCCATTGAACCGCCCACCCCTCCCATCGCCCACACTGTTGGATTCACTAAACCGCATCGTGCAGCCCGGTCTGTTTGTGGGTTTCGTGTGGTGGGCCGGCAGAGTTTGCAGAGCAAGGGGGGACGTGGGGAGGGGGGTGGGGGAGATAGGACGGGGGGCGGAGGGCTGTTGCTTTCGTCAACACCCGGGTGGCTAGGCCCCGAGGCCCTGCCGAGCCCTGCCCGGCCCGGAGGGAAGAGAGGGAAGAGGATGTTCCTCCATGCTCCCCGAGAATCAAAGGCCCCAATCCACTACGCGACATCCCATTATTTCTATTTCGGCAGCCGAAAGAAGAGGCTGGCGGCCGACAGGGAGACGCGAGGAGCGAATCTCTCTCTCTCTCTCTCTCTCCCCCCTCAATCCTCTCTCCGGTTCCTTCTCTTGCACCCACCCACCCTGCAAAGGCTGGATTAGGCCACCCCGCCGGCGGCGGCGCGTCGCCGTGCCTGCCTACCGGGCTGGGCTGGCTGGGCTGGGTAGGGCAGCGTGCGGCGCAGCCTCCCCTGCAAGTTGCCCCCCGGACCTAGTGGTAACGCAAGTGTGTGAATGTCGCTCACGTGTTGGTGTGCGAATATCCATTTGTACAGTTAGGAGGGTAAACGTGTGAATTTTCTAAGAAAAATGTACACACGCTTACCTCCTGCAGTGTGCGAATGGATATTCACACACCTACTAGTGAGCGACATTCACACACTTGCGTTTCCAGTGCCCCCCCCC